TTTGATAAGGTTTAAAACGACCCAGTACTGTTTGAACTGTTCGAACATCCTGTCACGAGATCAAACATTCTTTTAACAGTTTGATTATCCATAGCTGATTTCGGGTGACCTAGCGCCCAACGTACGAGGGCTGATTTCTGACGGTGCAAGAAGAGCGGACTAACGGCGTTGCGCCGTCGGCTCGTAGAAACGTTCCCCGAGGAAACGGGACGGGCTGCTGCGGCCTGATAAAAAGATTCGAGAGAATTCCGCCGGCGTAATCCTATTACTAGTAATGTAATCGCGATCTCGGTTGAAAAACAATGATCGGAGCACGCCGGCTCTTCGCTCTGTCTCTCATACCAGGAGTTGGATATTCCAGCGTGACGTATCGGATAAAAAGGAATCGAACCGAGTTTTCCGGGTTGGGTACCGTATGACGGAACTTTATGCTTGGATGTCGGGGATGCTGCTGTTGAAATTTTTACGACAAATCAGATTTTGTTGCGAGAGTGATCGGAGATCTTGAATCGATAATCCTCTCGTCGAGAAGTTGTGAGGATTTGTTTTTGATCCTGAAGTCTGGTATGCACTTTGCAAATGTATCATGGGTATTATTGTAAAAGATTTTATTTGGATGACGTTTAGGAATAGTTGATATTTGCACTGGTTCTGTCGAAGTGGGAGTAAAGGGCAGTATACACTACTTAAGAGGTTAGCTTCAAGTGCGTATAGAGCTTGTTTTTTAGTGTTGAATATAAATGAACAGGTTCTGAATTGAATTTAATAGCTCCGAATATCGTGTTCGATTCATTTCAACGGTATTTATCCAAATATTTTTCTGAAATACAGTTTTTGAATATTGATTTTCATACACCGACTTATCAAGTGGAAAGATGTTCTAGATGTAACTGATGTTCAGAGCGTGATCTCTCCGAATCGTTTTGATTTTCGATCCGATATCGAATAGGACGTTCATTTTGACGTGAATTTCGGAAATGCTTCCACTGACGGATATTGGTATGAAATTTCACTCGGGGGTGGGAAACAGAGTTTCTGTCAATCCTGGGTGTAGATACGTACTCTCGCAACTACGCAGTAAATTAATAACTTTGACGGTAATATCGACAGCAGTCAGTGGTGCAACGATGCAGGCAAATGTTGAAATTTATATTAACACGGAAAAAGTAATTCGTACAACAGCATATGACTGGCGTTCTGAACTGCAAATAGTCTCATCCAGAATGCACTGAAGGGAATACTTCTGTGTATGAAAAATCCACTAATTTCAGTTTTTACCTGTCGAAATTCAGGTTGCAGTTTTTAGCTCCTGGATTTCCACTTTCAAAGCTTAGATTTCAACTATCAACTATCATACTTCAGTCTTCATACTCCACATTTTAGATTTCGTACCTCAAACTTCAGACTTTCAATTCCAAAACTTAATCTTTTCCAGTTACATTTAAATAATCTTCGACATAAAATGGGAGTACCACGGAGTCCAAAGCGTGACTGTTAATGATAAGTGACCAGTATATGCCTTTTCCATCTTCTTCGCGACTTTGACATTTTTGTCGAGTTTCTCTACGAGCCGTCCAAAGTTCGTCGCCTTGTTCGACGGAACGAACGGACACTGTGTGCGTGAATTACGTTCCCGCCCGTGTCCGCGAAACGTTTTTCGGCGGGTGGCTATCCCGAGAATTTCGATGAATCATCGGTGGAATTAAATAAATCATTCCACAGCGCGTGAAATTACATCACTCTCGAGGGGTCCGCGAACGAATTACGGTCGGCGGCCAGCGAGGGAAATCGTTAATAAATAACGAGGTTGGTTAAACATTTCTGCCGGATTATCTGCTCTCGCCAAAATGTTTTCCCGCGTGCTTACGCGTGTGTATGCACGCTGAGAGACCGTGTGCACCGACGACGAACGGTTACCGGCCTCGAGTATACCGTAAAAATAATGGAAACGGTAGACGAAAAAAAGAGAGAGATAAAAAGAATAAACAAGAAAGGAAAACTACGGTGTGTGCGTTGTTTTCGAACAATTATTTTATTCCATGGTTCTTTCGAAATTTTTGTCTTTAAACACTCGAAATTCAACCGGTTTTCGTGTACCACGCAAACAGAAACTGGAATTAAATACGAAAATGTATTTCAGTTCGCCCACTTCATTAGATTAAAGAAAGAATAGTTTATTTAGGTATTCATTAACGTTCCTTAATTTATTTCAGTTATTCGTTCGCTCGTATTATAAAACGCAGAATACATTTGCTGATTGGGAAAGTGCCGTTGTATTATACATATATGTATATGTATATTAAATTCGTTCTTTTCGAACATTCAGTATTATCGAATAATTTCGTAAATATTTATATTGTTTTAATCTTCCTTTTCCATGCAATCGATACAAGAGGACTGATACTGTGAGTGCAGGTAGATTCGCGAATCATTTCCGTAAGACGATAAACTTTTCCAAAACATAAAATTTAAAGGAAGACGAAAAACAACACAAGGTCTACCTTGCGTTGCATAACTAAAACCAGTAAAAAATTCTCTTATGGTGTCAGAAAGTTTCTGTCAAACCGAGTATAATATAATACAATGTAATATAATATAATAAATATTCTTGTAGTAAAAAGGAATATTTCTGCATCTATTTTCATGCAATACCACATTGTTTTTAATCAAACTCGATTGTAACATATAGACCAGAAAGTTCAGATCGGTTTTATAGTAATGAAATGCAAGATACAAGTATAACGAACTATAAATAAACCGAAAAAACGTTGAATTTACAATTTTTCAGGGGAAATTATTTTTAGCCAACCAGAAAAATTTCTAGAGATGATCTACTTGGATCCCCAGGATCGACGGACAAATTCTGTCGCGTCCGGGGATTAGGACGCGCTGGCGCGACGGTCTACGCGCGGTTTTAATTAAAACATGGCGCCCGAAGAAACCCGATCGCAACGGGGGTGTTATTAATCGGACGCGATCACGCGATATTTCCTCGGCGATACGTCCGCCGGCCGGGCGCGGATTTATCGTCGCGCGTCCCCTGATTTATCAGCCGGGATCCGATTTATCAGTGCGTCGCAGACCGCTCCGCAGCTAGATCCTCGCGATTCAGATGGCCCGATTGGTCAATCTCACCCGCCGTAACCAATCCCCTGTCCCCCACCTAACATTTTTTTTTTTGTTTCGCCGACCTTCCAGAAATCGACCCTCCCATTCTCCACCCCTTTAGGAATCGATCGAACCGCTTTAATTTCCGGGTGGTCGCGAAAACGTCATCTCGATCCCCTTCGAGACCCGTTCAACCGCCCGGAGGAATCGGGCGCTTCCGGTGGCCGTCGGAAATCGTGAGTGGAGAACGAAATCTAATTAGGTGACTATTTGTTTTTTTGGAGAAAATTGATTCTACTCACTCGAAAGATACTGTAGAAATATGTTTCTAGGAGATTACGTTTGTAGGCTAAGTACAGTAAATTTTCGATGAGTGTTCCAAGGCTCCTCGCTATTAACAAGAAGAGGTCCTCAGGTGTTATGTTGACTTTTTAATAAGGTTTAACACGGTAATGGAAGTCGGAATTGTGGTCGTTAGTTTATAAAATAATTAATACTCAGTGCCAAGGAGCATTTGTATACTCGTTGAGGATTTACTGTGTAGGGTCTTCATAGATGATACTTCTATTGAGCATAAGGGTCTTTCTCAGTTGATACTTTCAATGTAAAGTATGTCCTGTTTATTACAATAAATTGAGCTTCCTCTTTGGAATCTAAAGCTGATGAAGCAAGTCTTCGTATTCAGATTTTTCCTGTTCATTCTCCCAATGGTGCCTCCTAGGCACTGATATCCGAAGAATATGGAATCATTTAAATCCTACTGATCTAGTTTCTTCCTAAAGATCTAGAATTCTTCAGACGTCGCGTGAGGCCTTTGTCCGAGATTGCCAGGCTTCTGTTAGCGGTTGATAGCCCCAAGATGAAGGATTCATTAGAGCCAGGTCACCTCTTTAGACGTTGATATCCGAAGAATAAGGGAGCTCTTCTGGGTCCCAACGGTTTCAATACAATCTATTTGGCTTTCAAAGCAAAAGTCGAGGAGTGTTGTGTTCCCGCCAAGAGACTGACGCGCAGCTGGAAGTAACGAGGCGTCGACAACCGAGACTGAAGTTCACGGTGGATCGGTAGGGAGGGGAGGGTACAAACGAGCCTGTTGGAAAAGAGGCGAAGTACACTATATACCGGTAGAGTCCACCCCGTGGGTTGTGTCGGTCTTTGTGCGATTACTTTGTTATGTAAATGAAAACTTAATGTAATAAGGGTTCGCCAACGACTTTACCAATATCCTGTTCTTTGGCGGCGTTCTTCAAAGCTAGCCCAGAAAGAGTCTATAGAGAGGTCTCGGCGAAAGAAAGCAGCTTTTCCAGGATGGGAGACAAAACACCTGACGCTTCCGGAAGAAATCTTGGCTGTCACTATGAACAAAAAAAAATCTACTACCCGCCTCCCTGTCTCGAGCGGGTGGTCCTGGAGAACAATTGAACTTTTTCGTCGAGAAGAGGATAGATAAGAAAAGACCTCGAGGAAGAGAAGTCATCAACGGATTGCGTTCCAGTTTAACCTGCGTTAGCGTGGAAAAAGCTGGAGGATGGAACAGGATGAACGAAAATACTTATTGTGTCGACCGTTCCCGTCGTTACTTTTCATGGGCTACTCGAACCAGATAGATTGCTATCCATTCGGTCGTAATTACTTTTTCATTCGCCATAACATTACCTAATCCAGGCCCGAGCTACGATCCTGTAAAAGTGCATCAAATTTCCAAAGGGTCATCTCGAGCCCTGATCTTTTCAGCTCTGCACGGTAGATGGGGAGCGACCTTCACCGGGCCAAAGTCACTAACTGCTCGCCCACGCGTGTTGCTTGGCTCGTACAACATTATGTTACGTCGTGTTTCGCCGAAGCAAGATTCAGGACCAGGTCCCTCGGTGCGTGCACGGTTCGATGGAAGGATGAAGCGTTTGGTGCTGGTGGAAAGGTTGAATCGTGGTGGAGAAAGGAGAGGTCAGCTCGAGGTCCAACGCACGTGGAAGGACAGGGAAAGGAACTGAGCAGCATAGCTACTTTCATTCATGGGGCCCCGTGTAACTGTCGAACGAGTACATGCACGCGCGCACACGGATAAGCGGCCAGTGATTCTCAAGGGCGGTCTGGACGACAATGAGTCTTTCTCTCTCTCTCTCTCTGTCTCTCTGTCAGAGTCCTTTCCACCATTCTAATTGGCCCGGAGAAGCGACGTCAAGGCTTTTGTCGTTCGGCCTCGTTGTCTGGTCTGCGGGTTCCATTCCGAAGTTGAAATTCACGGGCCAGTGAACCTCGCTATTCAACGTGGGGTGGTGATGGTGGATCATCCCCTTTGTGCCCGTAGGACCGACGGTGTGCGTCGATTGTCGCGATATCGGTTGCTGGTCGATGTTGTCTCCGATGGTGTACTTTTGAGCAGCGTTTCCTCTGTGATCGATGGAACTGACTGGAGTGCTTTCTGGATGGTCTTTAGATCGTTTCTTGGACCAGACTGTTTTGGGATCTGATGTTCGGTTATTGGGGAGGGATTGATCGTTTACTGTTTTTTTGGTGTATTGTTCTTGTTAGGATGGAACGGTGGTGAGCATGATTCAACTGTATCGAAGAGTAAACGGTATTTGAAAAATAATCGCCTCATATCTTTCCAGATTGTTTTATCAATGGACAGGATTCATGTTAGTATTTTCCAGAGATGGGCAAATTCATTGTCTAGATAAAAAGTTTCGAATAACGAATAAAATGGCTATTTCAATTTTTATAATCTCAGTAACTGTTTAACCCTTTCGATATTTATGTCGAGTATCCTCGTCACAGCTTAAAACTAACTAAGCACACAGTTCTTAACCGATCTGAATTGAAGTGAAAGGAGCGACCAGGAATGATCAAAACCTCTTCGAACCGTATACGATAATTGGACAATAAGTAAAGAAACGTGGCTGAAATAATGCTCGATAATGAACGATTAAAATCCGAACATATTCCTTGAAACGAGTAAAAGTGTAACCGTTCGCGGTTTTTTAAAGTGTTACAACCGTTTCGCCATAGCTTCGTTTAACGACCGAACCGGTTGTCCGTGAATAGCTCAGTCTGGTCCCCGCCAAAGAAACTTTTCGTTCTCCGTATCACTCGCTCCTCTCTTTTTTTTTAGTCCAGCTGGCAGGGATTAAAATCTTTTTCCACGAGGTTCCTCGTGTTTCCCGGACATCATCCGGTTTTGCGCCATTAACTAACTCGCTTCCCGTACCGTCCCGTCTTCGGCCAACAATGGCCCATCTTTTCCATTCTTTCTTTCTCTCTCGAGTCACGCGAGGACTCTCTCTTTCCCGTTCTCCAGACTAATGGCAGCCTAATTCTCCGTCATTCTGTCAACCCCGTGCTCCCGTGCTCGGAGACATCAAGGCCTTAAACACCCTCTGGGGCCATTATTTTTCGACGTTAATTCGACGAGGAGGGAGGGATCTCGTTCGGTCCGCTCCTCTAACGTAACTTCTGGTTAAGTTTCTTTTGACGAAGCGAGTGGAAAATTAATATAGTCGTATCCCTCTGTTATTTAGGTTGATGTAGAATATTTGCATCGTAAATGCGATCGAAATTCTCGTGGGGAGAGTGAGGATACTTAAATTCTACAGTTTCAGGGACATTTTTAGGTCGATGGTTTTCTTATTCGATTAACGCTGTTTCGAGTATCCATTCTGTTTAAATTCTAAAGGATTATGAAGCTGGATTTCTATTCGAGAACTTGAGGACAATTAATGTCGCAAAGTAGAAATAGACAATTAATGTCGGAAAGTAGAAACGGACAATTAATGTCGTAAGTAGAAGTGGTCGTTCATAGTCGGACAAGAGGTCCCTTGATTTCGTCATTTTTCTTTGTACCGACGTTGTTTTAGCATAAACGTTGTTAGATATAGTTAAGTGTCGAGGAGTCTCCGAACACTCATCGAAGATTTACTGTAGTCAGTTCATAGACAGACAGCGAGTACCCCTTCTTGTGAACCGAATTTCCTCGAATAATAGCATTATGGTTCCTCGTGTTCCGACGTAATCATCGTTACAGAACCTTTCGTTTATTAACAATAATATCGCTTCTCCGAAGTTTCCCATTCGGAACGGCAAAGTTTCCGGGCAAAACCGTCAGAAGTGATGCTCCTCGAAACAACGGCAACCAGTTGTTCGGGCATTATAATCCGAAACGTTTAATCACCCCTGTGCCCGGCTGCAATTTTCAAAGTTTCCGTGTCCGCCCTCCGGCGTCATCGCTCACGCTTCGCCTTACTTAACACCGTGCGCTCGCTAACCTCGTCTTCTGGTAAACACGCGACGATTTCACGAGTCGTATAAATACTTATTTCGCTCTGCATTCACCCGATCCTGCCTTGAATCCCCCATTCCACCTGAATATCCGTCTGTCTTAAAGAGAAATTAAAACAAAACTTAATCCCTTAATTAACCTCTTAACACCTTAACCTTTTAACCTACTTGACCTTGAAATCCTTTGACATACACTTGTCCAAAAGTTGTAATCTTGTAACAAGTTATAAAAACATGTTGTATAGCAAGATTATACAATTTGTTACACAATACTGTTTGTATAGTGCGGACGCAGCTTAACACGCGTTCAGTGTCCGACCAGGCACGTCTTAATCCCCTGGCCACCGAGAACGTTCGTCGTCGGCGGACGTTTCACACGACATTGTCTCGCGACCGAGTCCAAAGCAATTCTTAACTCTTGCCTCTCTCTCGTTTTCCGGTGAGAGAGTGCTCCGGTGAATTTCAACGTGTTTTCCAGGGAGGGGGCCAAACAAAGAGGGCGAGAGGAGAAAAAGGACAGGAGGAGAGCCAGGCAGCCTTACGGTGGTCTCCCCTCTTTTTTTTTTCTTTCCCTCGTTTCGTTTGAGTTTTTCCAGTGGCTGGGCCTTCTCTTCTCTCCACCCGTTTCTGGCCTCCACGATGCGCACCCGGTTCCGCGGTTAAGTAGCGCGAGCAACTCCCTTCAGATATGCTTTTTTTTTTCTCTTCCCTCAGTGGCTCTCCCCTGAAAAGAAAGCCTTTCCAGCCGCGGTCGCGGGATATCCATCTCTGCGCGCTGACGCAAACCTGTGCTGGTCACGTCTGGAATGGACCACGGTGGAAAATTGCAAGAATTACCCCTTATCGGACATCCTATGCAGAGGATGATTCTACGTGAAAAAATAAGTCGAAATATATTTTCGTATTTTTGCTACTTACAGAAGTAATCGCATGAGTACACTTCAAATGAACATATTGTAGAGTAACACTTTTTCACTTGACACTTCTATTTCGAGAAAATCGACTTTGAAGATCTTTAGGACGTTTGGTTAGATGTGTCTGATCATTGCATACCGTTTCTACTTACTGTCATATGACGAAATACAGGCGTTTCGGGCGAATATTCAAAAGTCGATTTTCTCGAAACCGAGGTCTTGAATGGACAAATTTTATTTTATGTTTTCGACTTATTTTCTTACATAAAAAACTTGGTTGTACCGCCCAGTTATAAGACACCCTGTAGAACACTGCCGAAGCATCGTACGGAAAAATGTTATTCTAAATTTTACACATATTTTCGCGTATAGAATTAATCTCCCTGCCGGTTGTACACACTCCTATGGTCCACCCCGTACAGCACAGCCGTATTGTTCTTTTACGCGTAAAAATCGCCAATACCCAGAAAGCCCGGGCAATGTTCGACGTGTAAAATCGGGAATCACCAAGGGGTGGGTGGGGGGTTTGTGATCCTGTGATCGCGTTATTCTGCTCTACAGCTCCATTACAACTTGTTCCCGAGGCGGTTCTATTGTATTTAAATCCGCGCGTGCCGGTTCGTTGCCTGGAAATGATTCGAAAAACCAGATGTTGTTCGCAACATTGTTCCTCCTCGAACAATTGAAAAACAGAGGGGAATCGTTCGACAAAAATAAAGTTGAGAAACCGTTCGATTTTCTATACTGTCAAACTGTTTTTAGGAATTGCTCGATAAATTCATATTTCCATTTAAAAAAACGGTTCCATTTTTAAAAAGTCGGTGATACTATTTTTTTTGTATTCCTTCTTTGTCCTCACCGGGTCAGTCTAGCGAAGGCTTCCGTGGTGTTTATAAGACTCTCATTTTTGTATTCACTAGCATACGTTATATCCATTATCTTTGCATCGTAATTAACCTTTTTGTTAAATAAATTTATTCTGAAAGTTTTTGGTATGTGTGTTTTGTTGCAGGATGCAGATACGAGGGTCGTAGATACCAAGAGGGCGAGTCGGTGGTCACGTCCGAGCCCTGCTTGCAGTGCAGGTGCATCGAGGGGGCGCTCAGGTGTCGTCTGAGGGTTTGTCCACGATTGCCGAACCCGCCGCCGTTCGGATGCAATGTTCGACCGCCCGTGGAGAACATGTGCTGCGCGGAGCTGGTCTGCGGCGAGACACGTTAGTACGATATTTTCCGACAAAATGTCCTGGTTCGAAGTGCCTCGCTCCACTTTTGATCGAACCAATTCCACACTCGAGGAATTCGTTTAACTGCCTCGATCGTATGGCTTAAACGCTTGCTCGCTTTCGACGTCGTTCGTAAAACCATTTCGATACTGTATTCAACAACTGTGAAAGGAACTTTATGACGCTTATCGGCGATTCATCATTTATTTTAGCAGAGTTTTCACGAAATATTGTATTAAAATTAATAATTTTTTTGTTAAATTGAAAAGGGTTTGTTATAATTAAATAGAGTTTGTTGTTAACTTGCCTTTCGAGGCCACTGTATGTATGTGAAAGGGTTGACAGTCATTGGTACGTTTACTAAACGGAATGCTTAAGAGAAATTTTTAAATAGGATGTATCTTACAATTTCAATTTACAGGCGACTCCGTGAATATTTTAAGAAGAGCGAACGTACATGTAGAGCAAGAGGAGACACACGAAGAGGACCATCAGAACTCCCGTTTTCAAGGTAGAGGATTAGCAATTGGAAGCATTAGAGTTAAATCTCAGAATTTCACGTTACACGAGAGGCTCAGAGAACTTTAATACGTTGACTGCTTTGAAACGAGAATCCCCTTTTTATAGAATGAGAAATTAAGTGTTCGTACTAATTAACTGGGAAAATACTATTCGAAAAGAAATGCTACAGTTGCTGCGATTTCCCAGGAATTAAATTTAGGATTAAATTTTATCGCCGAAGGAAACCAGTTTGGCACGCTGTGTCACGAATAGACTGCAGTTATTTATTTATGCACTTTCAATCGTTTCACGTGGTAACGTACGATAATGAATTATTCTAACATGAAAACGTTATTAAAGTTATTAATTCGTTTTGTCGCATGCACTTTGTAACTATCAGAGCACTTATCGAACATGCAGTAAATGTTACAAGGCATTACGAAGTTGCTGGAAGTCTGAAATTGTTTAGGGGACGTTGAAGTTTGATAGACAAGGTTTACTCTACTATGAAGTAATCAAGGTAGCCTGAAATATAGAGGGTGTAGTAAAACGCGTGGTAAAACTTTACACGGGGTGACTATCTACATGTAAAAATAATTCGCTCTTCGAATCAGAGAGTCATGGAACCGATGCCACGTTATTCTGACACTTTAGTTGATCGAAAGCTTATATTATCGTTTCCTTAAGCTACAGATGATTTACACTGCTTTCCACGTATACTATTTCCTTGACACGACCCCACAAATAAAACTCCAATGGACCAAAACTATAATAAATATACCAGAGAAACGTTCAGCATACAAATCTTTTTTAGGCCCTCAAAAAGAATTCTTGAAAAAATGTCACAAAATCACACGTCACAGTAGAATACCTCCCTCACGTGTCAACGTGTTAGAGTGTACTCTCGGTCGAGTCGTGGAAAATGTTGAAAAAAGAAAAAAAAAATGGCTCCGCCAGGGCGAAGGTTTTCTCTGTTCGACAATCAGGTTGCCTACACGAGGGCGTCAGATACGGGCCGGGCTCGGCGATGATGGGCTCGCGTAGATGCGAATACTGCTACTGCATCAACGGGGCGAGAAGATGCATCAGACCGAAGTGCCTGTTGCCCCTGCCGGGATGCACTCCGCTCTATGCTCCGCACTCCTGTTGCCCTGTTGCCTACAATTGCACCCGTGAGTGTACTTTAACCCGCGCCACACACGTTCGCGAGAGAGTTTCGCCACACTCTCTCACTCACTTCACACACGCCCCCCCCCCGAATTCCGAGTGAAACTGATGACCGCTGTTTCTTCTTTTTTTTTTGTTTTCCCCCCCTTGAAGATCTACGCTCGTCCACGCCGGCGCCGATCACGGGAAACGGTGAGTTAAATACATTAGTCTTCCATAAAAAAAAAGAAAAGAAAACGAATATATGAACAGTACTTCTGTGGTTAGTGGAGACATTTTCTCAACGTGGAAAATTTTGGACGTTTTCTTTTATAGATCATGGAAACATGGACGCGTTTTATCTGTGAATATTTTCCGGGATATACAGTAAATACTTGGTGAGTGCTCGGAGGCTTCTCGGCATTGACAAGGAGAGGTCTTCAAATGTAACTGAATTGAAGCTTCAATATTAGTTTCTGAAATATTTAATGTTCAGCGCAAGAGGAGTCTTCGAACACTCATCGACACTTTACTGTAGTTCGATGCGTGTGTAACTGCTTGTCGACGAACGATCAATGCTACCCAATGATCATTCAATTTAAATGGTCCGAACGAAAATTCTTCCCGTCTAGGCCGAAATAATTTCGATGCTCACGAAAATGGGCACGTGAATGTACGTACATACGGGGGATTATTTTCGCAATTTAAGCCACGGTTCATTCTGATCCGGCGTATCGCTGTTTATCTTCCGCAACAGCTTAATCATCGGCTGCCACGGGGGCGCGCAGAGAGACGTTGGTTCCGTCGTTTTCAGCAAAAGCCTCCTCCCACCAGCCAGACAGCCGAGGTCTATCCAACGAACGTAGCGACGGGAAGTTTAACGCGATAAAAAGGAAAGTTCGCGAGGGCTGAGGTTCGCTGCTATATCAGCCCCGCGCGTCTTTGGAAGAAGCCGCGGCGCGCCCGCCTGGCCGAGTTTAAATTTAAGCTCAGCTTATGAGGAAAAATCGCATCGCGGGGCCGAAATCAGGAGGACGGGCCGCCGCCTCTGTGTATGGTGAACTTTAATCCCCTTAAATTGCGTCGAGGTTTTATCGCGGCTCCGAGTACCATCTAATTATCGTTACGAAAAGTCCTTCCTTAAGAATTCTTCTCTCTTTCCCCCGCCCCAACCGCCTTCTTCTCTTTCTTTTCCTGGTTTTCAGGATGGAAGAAACTTTTCTTGGTTGTCGTTTTTCGGTGGAGGATTGGGGGAGGGAACACGCGTCGAGAAGTTGCTGGGAAAACGTGCAGAGCAATAAAGCACGGTTACTGTCAGCGTTACTTTAACCCCGTGACACTCACTCCCCCACCCCCCCCTTGCGTTTCAGAAAGATTTCCTCTCCCCACCATCGTTCCTCTTTTGCTACACACACCGTTCACTTAACGCTCAGTTTCATTCAATTTTACGACGCGGCGCGCATGGACCCTTCCACGGGAAACTGGGGAAATCACATTCGCAAGTAAATCTGACGCGTGAAGCGAACACGACGAGAATATCCCTAACCCTCTCTTTTTTCCGAAGTCTACACAGACACATCTTTGTTTTCTTGAAGTAATAAATTCACACACGTCACTTCCCAGTCCAGATATCACCCCCTGGTAGTAAAACTTCTCTCGGATAACCGTTTATTTTCAGAATTTTGTACCCCATTTTCAGAGGAAGTTCAAACTTCAAGGGTTTTTTTTTTTATTATTTCTAAACTTTCTCTGTAGTCCACTACTAGTTTTCCCTCATAAGCATCACCCCCTTTCTTTATTTTCGTACTTTTCCGTCCTGGCATTTTCATATCATTACTCTTTGGAACTCCTGCTTCCCATTTTTTTCTAGGCACAGGATAAATCACTGAAAGAAGTATCTTCCATTTTCTGATCTTTCCTCTATTGACAGGAGTTTTTTGAATCTTAAATTTTCTTCTTTCAAATTCTCCACGAAATCTTCTCTCTTTTTCCCCACTCGAAAACGATTATTCCGTTACATTTCGAGTTTACGACCCATGGAAAACACACGCGAAACGAATATATTAATTTCTGCCAGTGTCCGGCGGGATTAGAACCGAGGACCTCGAGATTCGTAAGCGGATACTCTACACGCCCCTCAACGAAGCGTCCATCGTACATGGTACCACTTTTTCGTGCATTTAAACCGCACGATTCTCCACTTCTCGGCTAGCAGCTCAATTTTCAGATGCTCTCACGCGGTCCGCGGTCCATTTAACGGCCAGTTTCACGTAGATGCTTAAAGCTTTAAAACGGCCCCTAAAGCCTTATTTCCGCCCCATTATGCGGATGCCCTCCACGACTTCGTCGACCCGTTTTAATTCCAGTGTCAGACAAAAAGAAAAACGAATATTTCACGGAAACAAAAGTTCCTACAATCTCACCCCATGATCGTCGTAACAACTCCACAATCACACCCTGTTCTCCAGATCAGCGTTGCCAGGAGAATTCTTTACCGTCGAAACGAGGTCACGTCACATAGAACTCTATACACTTATACGACTTGTGCACACTATGGTAATACTGCTAGGAATAAAAACGTGAGGTCCCCGTCCCCAACCAAATATAAACCCCCTCTACTATTCCCTACTACCTCACTTTGTCCCCACGCGGTCATGTTTTCCTTACTTTTGGTATACAGTCCCTCCTCGAGTTATGGTGACTTTGTAAAAACAGCAGGGGTCCTTCCATTGGGGTCTGTTTTAACTAGGCTAGAGTCGATCCTATTTAGGACAGAATTCAATGAGTCTTCCACGCCTTTAAAGGCACGTTTTCATGTATCAGTAAATCGTGATTTTTAGCGGAAGTTTGTACAAATACAAATTCTTATGGAGTAATTATCTTATTAAGGATTCTATTAAAATCCAGATAATATGAAAACTACATTACAATTAATTGTACTTTTTAATTCACTGTTCTAACGTAAAGCTTTTATGAATGTTCTGTTAAATATTAAATATATAATTATTAAAAATTTGCGTAAGCCACCTTAATCCAACGAAATGAGTAAACTTCTTAAATAGTTTTACATCCTATGAAAAATAATCAGAGCATTTCTACGTGGAAGGGTACAAAAATCAGACACATAGTGAAAGAAAGTAAATGGTCCCAAATAAGTACACATGGCACGCAAAACGTGACAGGGTCCCACTTTTAAAGTCACTACAGCTTCGACGAGGCACCGTAACTTACACAAGACGAATCCGTTCCTCGTTCGGGTGAATATAACAATCGAACGACCGGTTGTTTCGTCCACCCGTCGAACAACGTCGTAACCCGCGTAATGACGTCCCCTTCTGGGTCATGTTTCCACGATGGAATCTCGCCCGGACGTTTCCGTTGATCATCGACTGATATAGGGGGCTTTTTCGGTTCTTCGATATTTCGCCGCGAAACAAGGGGATTGGCTATCCCCATCGGTGCTTTATGAAGTGCTGTATCACAAACCTTCCGCCGAATGGATCCAATAGATTATAATCCATTTTCGTTGTTCCCCGTGGACCGAATTCACGACGGTTCGTGAGTTAAATCGTTGGATTTGATTATCGTCCGCGCAGTTTTCGAAGTGGACCGTAAGGGGGGAGGGGACGAGTCGTGAAATACGTTATCGCGAACGCGTTTGGTTTAACGCTCGGCCCCATTTCTTCTTTTTTTTTTCTGTCGAATTTCGCGGACAGTGGACCTCGAAACCAATGGGGGTTTTTTTTTCGGCGCACAGGTGGACGGTCACGAGGTCACAGATGCCACGGGAGATTTTCCTCGTGTGGATCCTGTGACCCGTTCAATCGATCGCGAGAATTCTAGAATTCGTTTTCATCGATAGATTGTCGGTGTTTGTGAACATTCATATTGTCTGTGGACTGTGCTTTGGGCAGGGATATGGTTGAAACCGCGCCGTGCAGATGAAATTGGAGATTGTGTACACTTTGTCGTCGTGGTTTTGCTTTGTTAAACGGCCATCGGTGAACGAAACTGGCGGTGAATTGAAGGCTCTGTGTCCGACACCTGTGACCAAAGCAGCGTGACGTAATGGTAGAAACATATTAAAGATTGTTTCACGTGAAATCACACGGTGTTACGTGATTTCAGGCGATATTCTGTACCTGTCACATCGGTGATTGAGACACATTGTGGTGAATCTGTTAAGGGGTCACCACCTAGTCAGCAACCCAAAAAATGTGATTGAAGTTATAACTTGCACAATATACAGACTCCTCTCGATTATCGTCTGGCTCGTTCTACACAATTATTGTCCAGGCATATTGCTGCTCTTCTGCTTTTTTCGGACATCGGGAAAAAAACGAATTTACGAGGATCTGAAACATTTCTCCCTATACGATTATTGTCCCGGCGCAGACTCGAGTTCGGGACAATAATCATGTAGAAAAAGCCAGACGATAATCGAGAGGAGTCTGTAGTTGTAATAAAATAGTTCATTAGCTTTTTCCAAACAAAAATTCCCGAAAAATCGCCATTTTTTGGCTTGCTGACTAGGCGTGACCCCTTAAAGGAGCGGATATTTAAATTTCGCAGGTTGTCGCGTCGGTTCGCGGGTGTACGAGGAGGGCGAGATGGTCAGGGACATCGAGTGGAAGGCCGCCTGCGACAATTGTTTCTGCGCGATGGGCGCGGTGCGTTGCGTGCCGCTCGCCTGCGCTCCACCGCTTCAAGGCTGCAGCCCGATCGTACGGGATGGACACTGTTGCCCGTCCACCTACAACTGCAGTGAGTCCCTTGGATAACACGTTGCATCAGGGTTGCCGCGATTCCGCCCCGCCCGACTGGCCCTAAACCGGCTTGCGTTTCACCAGCTTCTTTCGAGAATATTTAGGGTGATTCATAAATACATGTCAATACGTCATTGAGTAAATCTTCACATCAAAATAAATAAAATGTATCATATGAACATGTGTCTGATATACCTTAGTTTTCGAGTTAGGGACAATTAAAGAAATTTATTTTCTTTTATTCTTGAACTTCTCGATGTATTACCAACGACACTTTTTTTTTTTTAAACGATTGGGAGGATCGGGAAACGCGAGCCGGATCGGTCATAGAACCCTTGTGCTCTTTCACAACCCTGATTACCACCTAGGTGTTCTAGCCCGAATGCCATAAGAAACTGACCGATTAAACGTTCAAGGCGGTAGCATCGAGGTTAAGGCCACCCAGAACTACGCATCGTACGCGTTCATCAGCAAGGACTACGCCAAGTTCCGCAAGGAGACCAATTTCTTTGTACGTTTCGACGAATACTAATTTATCTTGTTCTCATCGCCTGCAAGACACTCCCCCTACCCTAAGAATCTTCCGCTTCCCCTTGCACTGCCTTCACTTGATGCCCTATTTTCCGATATTTTCACTTTCCATCCGTCTTTTCTGGTCCCACTTTGGATTTCGAGCTGACAACGACTTTCGTTTAATTTTATCATTTCATGCTCGATCGAAGTACCGAACAGTTCGGGTTAATTTACTTTGCAAACGTTAAAATCATGAAGATGCATTTGAAAAATTTCGAAAGTAAATACCAGAGTGTTCTTTCGATCATGCTTGTAATAGAAACGAGAAAAAAAAGAAACACGCAGCTATGTACACCTTGCTTACCAGCGTTGACGAGGGATTTTTAAGGTATCCGAGATCGAAACTTCAATTCGAGCTCCGTCGTATCAGTTTTTATATTTTTCGATACACCCCCGGGGGTGAAGGACGGCCAGGTAGTCTGACACCGATAAATTTCCGCACAGCCAACGATACCTACGCTCGACAAGATATGTTATATAAAATCGACCGAAAAATCGTCCACGGGGGCAGAGGGAAGACGAAAGAGGGCAACAAAAAAATCGGTTTCATCGTTCGACTTTCTAAAAATCGCTGCTCACGTATTCGATGGATGTTCTTCTGGGAGGTGACACGGAATTCCAACGTCCGAAAGATATCTCGCGTGACATATAGAGGGGATAAGTAAGCGTCCCTCGTCTAACAGCGAACGATCCTATCACAAGTTCCAGATTCGTGAAAAAAATATTTTTCCCTCGACCGTCGTCTTATGTAAAAGTACCCCAGAAACGAATCACTTTGGATTTTTATACGGGTGAGGAATCTAAAACAGTCCATCTGAATAACTCGCCTGCTTTTGGCCATGGAAAAAATACATTAGACTAATCTTGTTTGGTTTCAAGAGGAGCAAATCAAATGTCAATAATTGCTTTGTAGCTTGAGCTATAGAGGACATGGTATGGTCAACTTCGTTTGTTTCAATAGAATGATACTTTTCTTTTTCTTAACTTTTAATAGAACGTTTTAAGGCGTATAGAATAACCTGCGTTTAAAGGTCATTCAAGGAAGGCTAACTACGATTGAAAATAATTAATTTCAAGGAACAATCCATTTCGCAATATTGATATCTTCTAAACAGTAATTAATACAGTTGGTCTCTGTCCATGTCATCTGTCATTTTAGTTATTAATACTACTAAAGTGCAATACTAAAATTTTTTAGTTTTCACAACAAAAGTCATATCAATTAGTGTCATCACCGTTAAAGTTACGATTTTCTGTCATATGGAAACGTACCTTTACACGTGTCAGTACTCCAATCGAGAACGGAACAATGGAGTTCCGAGCGCGTCGACAACTGTCTTCCCCGTGAATATCGATCGCGTTCGATGGCGCGAGGCAACGAAACCACCGTCACGAATAAACGGTCCCTATAATTGTTTCGAGCAGTTCGTCCCCGGGACAGCGACGTAACAGACACGACCGCGTTCAATTCGAGGCTGGAAGTCCCACGGAGCGGGGAATGCCGCCTCGCCTCCCTTGGATTAACTAAGTTAAATGTCTAACCTGGGCACACGGCGTCCGTTCCCGTCGGGACTGCATTAATTAAATTCCATTCGGGGTTGTAAATCACGCGAACCAGGTCGGATTACGGAACTGGTGCATCGATGACGACAGTAATCGACGGCCACCCCACCGGTTCGTTCTTACGTTGTCAATAGGAGCATTAAACGTGATTCTACACCCTTCTACTATGTTGTGTAATTTCTGGTTCGTAAAAGATATTTTTCAATGCGATTAAATATGATTATCATATGGATTTGGTGTTTGAGATTATTGAGATAATGGAAGTTCGGGAATTATAAGTACCTTGTAGGTTCTTGAGTGTACTTTCCAAGCATTTTTTAAAGTCGTCTTTGAAATCAGGATATTTATTGAATATTCGTTTGGTTAGTATCTAGATAGTATAGATACGGAAGAATGTAGATATTTCTTTCCTACTCTTGCAACGCTGTCTTCCTCTCTCTCTATTCTATCTTACAGTACTCGCCGAGAGAAGCCAGAAATGCCTCATCAACATAGGTCCTACAATCAATCGTTAATAGAACAATATTTTTCTATTTTCTTAATTAACAGACCTAGTCTCATATTTTTGGCCGTTAGTATATCTGTAATAAATGGAACAACTTTTATATTTTTCCTCGAAAGGATATTTTCTACGACCTATGTTGATCAGACAATTTTTTACTGGCCTCGGTGAGTATTTTAAGCACCCAAAGTCTTAGACTCTTTCCTTTTGTCACCACCAATTTACATAAGAAACAACACCGAATCCTTTAACGTTCCGGGAAACGGATAATTTTCTCTGCGTAGCCGGCAGTGGAGCAAATAACAAGTCCTCCAGTGGAAGGACGGGGTCACCGAGTGGTCGAGGAACGAAACGATTATTCGAGCACCACGGAAGGACCGTCGTCCTTGTATTCAACCGATCCAACGTCCTGGCCTTCTACGATCGAGACGGACATCATGGACAACGAAATTCTGGTCGAGACGGTGGACTACGTGAAATCGAGCCCAGATATCGCAGCAACGACACTGGCCCCACTGGATGAGGTAATCTAAATGCGATTCCCTAACATATACAGTAAATCCTCGATAAATGTTCGAAGATCCCTCGGCACTGAAAATGGATATTACTTTTTAACGAGGTTTGGCAACAATAACATTTGTTTCAGGCGCATACGACCATTAGTTTATGAATTATTTAATGTTCAGTACCGAGGAGCCTTTGAGCACTCATCGCATATTTACTGTAATACAAGTAAATGATCGTAGATATTTATATAAGGCAAGAGTAAAGATCTTCAAAGTGTTCCAATGGTATTATTGACCCAAACCATTCGGTTCTAGTCGACGACGAGCGTCGAGTCGACGACCCTGGAGTCAACTTTCGTTGGTAAAGGGGACGACAATCCGTTGAACGACCAAACGACGACGTTCTCGACGAGCGGCATCGAGGCGTCGACGGTCACAGTGATCGAGAATCTCTCGGACGAGGCGACGACGGAATCGACAACCCTGTCACCGGAAGCGACCGGAAACGATACCGTGACGGAGGACTGGCTGAGAAGCAACGGGACCGTAAGGAACCGGAACACGAGCCATTCGAATAATCCGACGATCGTCGTGATCAACGACGAACTCGAGCACGGAAACGAGACGGTTAGTACGCGAGAGCAAGCTGGTGAAATGCACACTAACGGACAAATGTACGGGGTAACATCTCTGATGACTGAACTGCGGATGTTTATGCAAATATAGATTTTTATAGGGTAATTTGTAGGAATTCGAGTTGATCAAAATCTGTTTACTTTATTTACTATCGAGTTCTAAAGAGAATAACAACTTCTTTAACATTTATCACTAACACCGATCAACAAATTTTAAACTAATATAAACGTTACCTTGACGCTGAAGTATCAGCGAATAATCGGGCAATGTAACTTGCATTTAAATCGCCACGGAAAACATCGAAAGCTAGTAATTCAAAAACTTTCGTGTATTTGCACCTAAATTGAGGTTTATTTTAATGTGACAGAAGCCTATATATGCTAAAAGTTTCATTAAAACGAACGACCTGAAATTTGGGCTTTTGTCTTCTAAAGCTTTGAAACCAAACTAGCGAATAGACCTGCTATAAACGAGGGGTGGGGGAGCTCAGTCGTCGGTTGATCGATACGGATGGGATTCGGTGTTGATTCAACCAGGGAAATTAACAACCGGGACCTGTTGCGATCAGATGGAGCCGGCCGAGACAACGGAGTCCATTGGCAAAGGGACAGTCGGCAAACCGTCATCAAGCGTGCTAATGCCGGACGACATACTGGTGATGAACGTCACCGTGAAAACGAACGTCTCGGTGGGTCATATACAGGGTGTTACGATAAACCCGATTAGGTCAATACCGCCGGACGTCGAGGCTATACTGAACATCACTCACCGGGAGAAGGGGGAGGACTACGATTACGATTACAGCGAGCCAACGTTGCCACCCTCGCTGCCGAATGTCAGGTAAGGTAAATACCGTTCGGCCTCTGACGCCCGCGGAGATACCGTGAATCCTAAACAGGCGGGCAGAGAGGAATCGTAGAAATCGCGAGAATAGCTGAAATTTTCGATGAAAATTCAAATATGATCTGTATTGTGTATTTTAACACGTTGACTCCCAACTACGAGATAACTCGTATTTGAAATATTGCAAAGGGGCTGGATTATTTAAATACCATTACAATACTTTTCTGTAAAATTAATATCACAGTATAATTTAAAACAAGACAACCTACCTCTATTGACTAAACGCACACATTTTCGACTATTTATGACTTAAAAAACGAAATAAAATGTGTCTGGCTACGAACGACCTTTTTCACTGTAGCAGTCAACGTGTTAATAGAAAACTATACAGGGCGATTTAAATCGACTTACTTATCACTGAAATTATTGCCGATATTAAAAAATGTTTTGGACAAAAGTTACATGGTACCAGGGAGCACACTTTCTGATGTAACTTTTTTTTATGTAGATGCGTGGAGGTTGTACGAAGGTCAATTTTGCTTTTTTAAGTGGAATCGTATATTTTTTAATTAACTCATTCTGTACATAAAGTACTAAGTGCATTAAAAGATATACGATATTTTTTACAAGTCTCCATCCCCAATGTCTTCCCACCCCCATATATGTAAATAAGCCAGGAGAGACAGGCAACGTAGAGATATCGAAGGATATATCCCGACGCATAGGAATAAGACACAGATGGGTTTGCCACGGTTTCACGCAGGATAATTCCGTTCGTGGCGGCGGACGCGCTGGTGAAAGACAAGACGGTCCCGTCGCCTGTCACCGGATATCCTTCCGGATCGGTGGTCGTGCAGCCGGAATTGCGGCCGACTGACACCTCTGGATTCTACGATATCGTCACTCAGGAGAACCGATTCAGTCCGCCGGTGGAGACAGAAGGTGAGTGGTGTTTCTCAGATCGTACCATTCAACCCCTCCAAGCACTAGATTTTACAACGAAACATATTGTTGCATAGAAATTTTTCGTTGTATAAAATACGAAATAGCTTTATTATAACTATTTTGTATTCTTAGTCATTTCACGATTTAAAGGCAGTACGAATAACGCCCAACGATGCACGTTGAAGTGCTAAAAAAAGTGGGATAGCATTGCTTCGGAATTTATTGTTTATTTTTGTTTTATTTTGCGCAAAGGTGGATTCGTACCACGAGAGCCACCGTACTTCAACGCCCCGTATCACTCCACCGATCTGAATCTGGAGATCGGAACGGGCGTGACTGTTGTTCCGGCGCCAATCACGAGTCCGCATCGTAAAGGCGACGGTAAACGATCTCATTTTGCTTGCTTTCTCTATGAAACAACACTTCTATAACGCATAATACTTTGTCACTGATCGAAGTATTTATTAATCTCTGGTCCATCCAATAATTCAGTGGAAAAACATTTACTGGTTATACACTTGTTATGTGATAATTACTCCGATTGCAAACTGTAACTACTACAAACCACGGTTTTTATGCGTTTATAGCTAGACTGCGGATTTTAGACATTAATAGAAATCTAATTGTAGTAAACAGTTTCAGAAAATTTATGTAGGTCTTCACTTTATTTCGACCCTATTAAAACCTTCGACAAGGTCAATAAAATTTTCTTTTCGTCCAGTCTCTGGAAAATTCTACATTTGTATAAACATCCGCAGTTTATTTATAGCATACCTACGCGATGACCAGTGTATGAAAAAGTTTAGTAATGTCCAGAACGATTCCTGTTTTATTTGGGAATCGATGAGAACATTTGATACGGTAAACAAAAATTTTTGTGTGTTTCCAATTTCCGTAAATAAATACCGATGGCAAGCCTTGTTTATACTATTCACACACCCCCCTCCCCTGGTATACCGCGTACACACACTCTGCTCTGGACATTATTCGTGAATTTGGTTCGAAGAGACGATGTGATTCTGTTTCACGAAATCCTCCAGCCAGCAACTGCCTGTTCGAGAACACGGATCACCGTCACGGCGAAATTCTGCCCAGCAGCAACGTATGCGTGATTTGCATGTGTTACTACGGCGAGGTGGTGTGCACCTCGGAGAAGTGTCCACCCCTGAAAATCGGCTGTCGACGGATCAACACCGAGGGGGCCTGTTGCGGAAAGATCGTCTGCGGTACGCTGAAACGGCTGAGTATAGATTCCAAACTGTATACAGTAAATCATCGATGAGTGTTCCGAGGCTCTACGGCACTGACATTGAGTGTTCAGACGACATCCCCACCTCAGTGGTAAACATAAAAGACTCAGTACCGAGGAGTCTTCGAACATTCATTAAGGATTTTCTGTACAGCAATAGCTTTCTTTTCCCTAATTTGCATCTCTATAAATTTGAGATGTATGGTAGTTGAAATTGTATTCATTTGTTAGAACCAACGCCAAATTTATGAACAGTAGAAGCGTTCCAAAGATCAATATTGGAGTTCCAGGTGGACAATTATGTCCATCTCAGGTGTTGAAAAAAAGATACACAGTAGAAAAAAAGCAATCAGGCTTGTAAGAGCGATCGGGCTTTTCCTGTAGACAGTTCTACGATAGTTAAACAAATATAGCCAAATTTATTCGTCCCCAAAAGGATGTTCCAAGACGGTACTTCTTCGTGCAATATTTTGTGGTATCAACGAAGAACCATGTCGTTCCCATACCCTCGATCCACCATTCGATCTCAGTGTAAAAATTTCATCGATAATTCTTCGAATAAGAAACGTCAAAGAGCGCGATCTTCACGGCAGCGATTTGAAACTGTTCGCAGTGGAGGCAGACGAGTCCCCGACGTTGGTGCTGGATCGAGCAGACGCGACAGCTCCGTCGATCCATCAGCCGATAGTGTCGCCAGACCCGTTCCGTGACGTGATCAAGACCGAACCGGCGCCCGATCTGCCGTCTTTGATCGAGGACATGTTCCCATACCTGGTGGAGCACGGGATTACCACACCGAGACCGGCCAGCACGATGAACCCCCTGCAGACTCAGGGATCGAATCACCCTCAGTCCAATTTCGATTACATCGACAAGCTAACCTTGATCCGTCCCCCGTACGATTACAGGCCAGACGAAGGAGACAATCGGCTGGTGTCGAAGCCGAGCTATCCTCTGAGCCAGGAGAACCGCTCGAAAGAACCGATTCCACCTGGTTACAACCTGAAAGACACCGATCAGACCCTGGACCATGTCTCCGAATCGACCATCGAGGCTAGAATCGATCACGAGAGGACTAGCTCTTCGCCAGGTCTAGACCATTCTACCAAACAACCGGATGATCATTCTGTAGACGTCAGTCAATCTCTAAACACAGTCATAGACGGTCTTAAGTTAAACGGTTCGAAGGATGACGAAGGTTCAGCGGGATCGATGATCGAGGATACACCATTAGGGGATACCAAGGTCCACTCGACTACCATCAAGGGTTCAGAAGCTAGTCCAGAACCGGAGGAGCCTATTTTTTCTCTGGACAGTGTCTTGGATCTGTTCTTCTCGGGCAACGACGAAGCCAGCAGCGAAACTGCTAGGCCAACGGAACCCACGACCAGGTCCACGGTAGAGGTTAAGGTTGCTACGGAGGCTGTAGAGGACGCAAGGGAGCCAGCCACAGAGACTGGAACCTCACCGAAGGTACTAGAGAACGAAATCCCTGCCTCGGTGGCTAGTCTGCTGAAATTGGCCGGATGTAATATCTACGGGAGGATGTATCGGGTCGGGAGGATCATCACCGAGCTCTCTGGACCCTGTCTAGAATGCAGGTGCACGGAAATCGGCGTCCAGTGCAAGCAGCTGGAGTGTTGATCGAGGGCTTGCAGCCTCGCGGAGGGTTGCTCTTCTCGTTCTCGCGTTCCAATGATTGCGATTAACGGACTGCGGATGTATATGCGCGTTTGGTAGCGTTTCCTAGCCCGATGGAGTGTAATGAAATACAAGATTTCGATTACGTTTCTTGAAAATAGTATTATTGATGTTAACCGAATTCTGCGGCGCGGGAAGTAAAGTTCTGTGCAAATTTTGGAGGTATTGGACTTTGAAATTGAGAACTTTTGCATAAACGTCCGCGGTCCAGTGGTCGCAGGATCGTATGAACCGATGCATTCACTGCTGTTTGACACGCTCTTTTTGAGAACGGTGCAGTGGGTAGCGAAGATGCTAGGGGTGGTCCGGTCGGCGGGAGTTAAAGAACGATTGGTTAAGTTTAATCGCGATTTTATGCATAGTATATGTATGTATATTGAATACCGCTGTTCGAATGGCTTCGTTACTCACTGTATTTTAGAGATACGTATCTCTTTATCGACGTCGAAGGTGGGATTGGTCGTGAGTATTCTTGGATACGTTTTATTTAATTTTATATAAATGATCTTTCGTAAATGGTATCAGCTGAAGTATTGGATCTTATTTGTTTGAAATAGTTGGAAATAGTCTTTCAGAAAATTTAGGATGATTATTGATGAGCGTATTCGTGTCATTTATTGTGCCACTTTGTGCCCGTTGTACGAGTAAGTAGAAAAGCGAAAAAAATATACCGGATCTTCGACGTCCAAGTGTTAATCTAGTTGTTAGTTATTCTCTGATTGAAAATTACAATGAGAATTTTCCGACTGACTGTTCTTTTTCTTTTTGTATTTGTTACATATACTTTCCGATAGGTACAAGGCACTGAATACCTTGATTCGACAGTGACAGGTGCTTCGAAGCTCTCAGTTTCTCACTTAACGATTAGGCGATCGAAGAACAGCGACCACGGTTGAACGGAGTTTCAAGATTACAAAAGAAAACTTATTCTAGCACATTACCAATCCTACAATTCTACCTTCGTAACTTCTACCATCGAGTCAGAGACATCGTCTCAAATAACGAATAAAAAACCGACACCAAATACCGATTCGATCGCAACAATAGTCAAGGACATTTATTGCCACCAAGATTACCCAATAACGTTACGGGTATTCATTTCATTCGCACTCCCATTAAACGTCCAAAACATCCGTGATACATTTCTCACTGCTTCCAGGATTTTCTGAAACGGTCCATGAAAAGAGTGATTAACAATTATATGACCCAGTTTCTACCACCTCGTAGACTCTACTTAAAGCTCGAAATCTTTCAATTACCCCTACGTGCCCTTTCTTTGTGGAGCCTCGTTAGATCGATCAGGTTGTAATTGTGAGGAATAGTCCTTCCGTGCTCCGCACGGATAAGTGGCTAAAGACGGAAGTTAACGCCAAACCGGCCCCGGAATTATTCTCGGGGATAGGTTATACAGGCGGGCTGCCGACCCATTTTGATTTATCTGCGCAATTTATCTCCGACGGTTTGAACGCAAAAGATACGAGCCCCAGGGGCCACGGGAGCCAAATTATCTCGTTGAGTTTGCTTCGATTTTCGCGTTCCCGTGCTCGCAAGTGAACCTCGCGATTGTACAAACGGGATAACGCTTTTTTTTCTTGGCGCGTACTCGAGAAATCGTTTCCTTCGATTCGTTTAAGTAAATTCCTCTTAAAAATCGGAACGATTTTATTCCGCCTTTGAATTCAGAATTGACTAGTTTAATTTGTTTTTTTAAATTCATAACAAAGTCGTTCGAACCCTGTTTAAAATTCACGACGCTTCGAATCAGAGTGCCAATATTGTTGGAAGCGTTGTAATTAGGATTCTCGAACGTTGGAATCCTTCGAGGTATCACAGAGAAATACTCCTTTGAAACCTCTCTTAATACACTGAACCATTGAAAGTCTATAGTTAGATCCCTCGAATCTTAATTAACCTCCTTTTAATAACAGTTATTCACAAAGATCCCTATTTTCTACCCAGTTCCGAATGCTCGCCCGTTAGCTCGTTCCATTTATTAAAATTCTCCGTCTCAACCGTGGTACCGTCTAAGTGGCAGGAATCGTCATCGTGGCCACGTTTAATATTATATGTTTATTTTCTACTTACTCTAGCGTAGCGTAATTATAAATCGATTGTGATCCGTATGATGCTGGTGTAAATTCGTGGAGCAGCTGCGTCGACACGAGATTCTCGAATGATCCACAACGAAAGTGACCGTTCACGATCAATTCGCGCACGAGTATAACAACAACAACAACAAATATCACAACAATAACCGAACGATTCCTTCAGAACTGATACACAATAACCTCAACGGTTCTTCGTTCTTCGAACTGATCTGACCCGCTTCTCCCGCGCGAACTCCCTCCCCTCTGGTGGCGCTAAGTCGAATTAACCGTGGCGAAAGCTTAAGGCGAAACTCGAAAAGTGCGCCGTTTCGAATTGTGACTACCCAAAGTGCAATGAAAAATTAATCCCCACGGAAAACTTTCCTGTCGAGTAAACACAGTCTTCGAATCGAAGGAACAGGTGGGCCATGCGATGTATTCAGCCCGTTTCATCCTAATCCGGCGCGCTCCAATAAAATCGGTGCTAGTTTTCGGGGGGGAGGCGGTCCGCCCGCATGGAGGGCAGCAAAGAATTTCATTTCGACGCACACGGCGTAACGGGAACGTGATCGAATGGCGAACCAGTCACGGAAAATACGAAATGAAGTCGTTCACGGAGCTCACACGGTACCAACGGACACAGAGAGACGTTTACATAAGAGACAACTGGGAAATGATACCGGAATCGAAGCGGTCCGTGTAACGTATTCACGTTCTCTTCGAGTTTTCCCGCTTCAAGGCAGGTCCACGTTGACGCAACAAGTGTCGTTCGCACGCAGCCGCCCCGCGGATTAAACGAACGAAATGTTCTCCGTTGAACGTCGTTCAGGACCATCGTCGACGATCCTCTAAAATTTCCGCCGCGGAACAACTAAATCGATGGGAACAAATGAGAACACGGAACCGAGATTTTTTCGAATTTTCCTTTTACTGGACGATCAATTTGTTCCGGTAGGATCCTCCGGGGAGCCAAGCTCGTCAACGCGATCCTCTGTGAGTTTCATTATTATTATATAAGTAATAAAATTATATAATATAAGTGTAACATTCATCGAATTTCTAAACATCAACGTTTATAGTACCGACTGTTTTCTCTGTTTTTCTGTTTCGTTGGGAGATTCGATTAGCTTGGCTTACCGAGAGACTATGCGTCTAGGGGATAAGAGCTAACTAGGGTATCTATTAAGTTTCTGTGTCATTCATCGAGGGAAGCAAGCTCCTGCCGATTATCACCGATCATCATTATCATCATCGTCGTAATTGTAGATCGTAAGGGTAGCCAGTAGTCGAGGTGTAATCGATCTTAGATACTGTAATCGACGGTATAGCCATAAAAGAATAGAGAGGCCGAGTCCTCGAGGTGTCGGACACGCTCGATCCTCACATCCTGGGTCCGTCTGCATCCTTATGCATCGTTTTTTCCAAATGCATTTCTGAACAGTTTTAGTTTTTCTTAAATACCTGTCTTTCTTATCAAAAGTAATATGAACGCTAGCTTAAATTAGTTGTCCTAAGTTTTGACCCTTAAGTTTATACCCTTGAATACTCGAAATGCAGTCCCGAGTATCGCTGTTCGAGGGTTAAGGCTTGACTCGAATTGGATGAGGAAGCGTGCACACACACACACACGAATGTTTCTGTATCGCGTCGACCGTAAATTCGCTTTGAATGCCGCACAGAGGCTTGTACTATACGTTTTGTCTTCGTCGAAATAAACGTTCACGGAATTCCCCGTGTATTCCATCCACCTCTCCCTCCAACGGCGAAGGGAAAGCTTCGATCCTAAAAGGAATCGACAGAGAAAGAGCTCCTCTGTCTGTGCGTTCTCTTACCTTTTCGATTGTTTGCTGGACCAATTCCGTCCATCGATACGTCCCCTAGATAGGAGAAACGAACAAATGCAAGCGAAGAAATTGCTATTGATTACTATACTGAAACTTGCGTAAACAGATTGTCCTCTAGAAGTCACTACGATTGTTACTTCGTGTCGAAAGAAACGATTGCACAAAGAATCCTTTAAAAAAATGATTAATTGAAGAAAGTATGGAGGTTACTTGACGCTCGCGTAAACCGAGGATCCCCTAGTTGTCCTTACAATATTAATTGTATCCACGAAGAAAAAAAAAATTGAAAAGGAAAGCGAAGAATTTAGTCCCTAGAATCTTTTTCCGCGACAAAAGAAGAACTTACGAAAGACGCAGGTTTCTCTTTTCATTCCTCAAGAATCCCCAGAAGTCCTTAGAAAATTTGCCCGAAACTAGAAAAAAATCCTATTACACATGAAGCCACAATTTCCTTTTCGTCGCCGTTCAATCGAGTATTCTACACTTTTCCGAATAAACAAAAACCACAGGAAAGAAAATAAGAAAGACCACTTCCAAGTCAGAATCTCCTGAAAATTCTCCAGAAAATCATCGAACGTTACGAGAATTCGTTAAACGGATCGTCAGCTTTAAATCGGCGAATATACACATATATCGCGGTTCAACGTTCGACCACTGATAGGATAATTGATTATCTCGGCGAACTAATTGCCAGTGACGCGAAATAACAATGAAAATCAGGCTGGACAAACGATGGTTATCGAGCAAAAGGCGTCCGGGATTACGGGAACCGCGCGAGTTTCGACTTTATTGCATGCAATCGATTGTTTCGGTACACAATTGGATGCTTGGTGAGAGGGGTTCGAGTGAGAGAGAGAAAGAAGGAAAGAGAGAGTGCGATCGCCCTCTCGTTTAATATGACCGTGATCGAATCACAGCGTATATAATCGTATTTTATATTCAATAGTCAGTTGTATTTACAGATCGTATTATCGTTATTGTTAATCCGTGTCGACGATAGTCGGTAACACTAACATAATCACAGCCAGTTCGCCTCATGTATGTGTGTAATGTGTGTAATATCGGTAAACAAGTAGGTACGATCATCGACTAAACCGCCGTTGGAGAAACGGATCCTCCTTCTCGCGTATCGGGGTTGCGATCGCGAATTCTCCCACGAAAATGAACGATCATCGAAAATCTAGCACGGAAGTATTAACCCTTTGCAGTCGATTGTCCCATCTGCGAGGACAAAATCTACGGGAAATTAGAAAATTCCGGGTGCAACGGGTTAATATTGCTTGAGAACAAAAACTTAATATTCATTCCTCGAGTAAGATTCGAAGTCGTCTCTTCTCCAAGTTAACCCCCTTCAGTCAACACCCCTTTCATATCATGTTCGCGAAGATTGTCTCGAAAGCTTTCATCGTTGCAAAATATCATTATTTTCCTCCCTGTTCCATTCGGAATCGTTGGATTCTGGAAAAAACTCCGAGGGAGAAATATCGATAAATTCTTTCACGAGACAAGTTTTATATGAATTGTCTTCTAGTGAACTGTCTCTTTGACTAGAATATTTTGACTTGGTAAAGTTATCCACGAGACTATAGCGAATGGTATATATTGTAAAAATATTTCAGTACAGTGAAAAACGAAATGATTCTTCTCGAATGGAAGAAGTCTTCGAGGAATTCCATTAATTTGTCTTCGTGCAAGACAAACCTACTATGATTTCGATCTTTTGGCACGCGGAGGATACCTCATTTATCCACAAACAAGGAATGAATTAATTCAGAGTTGGTGGATGAAAGATTTTTGGTTCGATGTGAATTTCGTGGGAGATTCGTGGAGGTCCCGAGCACGATTCGGCTCTACGATATTCTGCTATCGAATAATTCCTACGTATAATTATAAACATATTCTTCTTCTTGGCAGCATCCGGTTATGCCTCGCGGACAATCCTTGGATTTCCACGAAAATCCTTCCCCCCCCTCGTTTGCCCCGTGGATTCCTTCCGTTCCGTCTAACAATCGGGTCCATTCAATCCCAACAATTCCCAGAACGATCGAGGTATACATTTAATTAATTTCCGATCCACGAGCGCGTGCTTCCGATTCCTTCGATCCGATTCCACGTATCGAGACGAGTTTCCTCGTTTCCGTGCCGTTTCCAAGTCCCTCGCGGAAGGAATCCAGGGGAAAGCGATCCTCCGACAGCGATTTTGTTTAAACCCTTAACAGGCCTTAAATTCTACTTGGAGAAAGGGATCATTACTCTTATTTTAATTATTCCGTACCTTTTCGATCGAACACGTTGCACGATAATCGGTTACCCAGCCACGATGAAATAATTTGCTTAAAAACCGTGAATTATCTAATAACGTTGATGTACTAACTGGGAGCAGGAATATTAATTTCAAAAGTTAACGACGAATTTGTAATCTTAGCGCAGAAGTCATCTTCTGTTCCAAACTTTGGGTAAATTATTATTGTTATCAGACTGCAGATTTCATCTCGCTACTTTTCTATTCCTCGAAATATTTAACCACCCGGCACCGTTTGGGTTAATTTCACCGAAAATTTTTAGACGTATTTTTCCAGCAGACAGAATATGACTTACCAGAAAAAATTAATTTTTTTTTCTGCGTTCGATCGATTATTGTGCAACCGTTGAGACATCTTTTTCGAGGCTCCGTCGACGGTGTCCAGGGTCTCTATTCTGTTACTTCGAATCGATTGAACGTGGAAATTTCAATTTTTAATATCTTCCTTTTTTTTTACTAATCTTATTAATTGTTGAAAAATAAAGTTCTGCCAAACTCTGGGGGGTTTCAAAACGTCGAGGGTTCCTTCGAATTCCCCAGAAATCGGCGCCATTAACAATCTTCTAACGATGCTTCCGAACTCTTCACCGATAGGTGACTAAGAAATATGGATATAAGCGTGCTATTAAATGGTAAATTGAACACAGTAATGACTTTTCGGCAGTGAAAACGAAATCAGGTTGATATCCTCGGCAAAAGTTTCCACAAACCACACGATTTCTCTCGCCTAATTTTCGCAAGGAGTTCTGGGAAAGAATGGTGGGAACACGCGTGCACCTTCGTCTGAAATCGACGTTTACGAAGGGGCTTAAATACCTTACGCTACTCTTATCGGTAATTAATATCGAAGAATGACTCGAAACACCCTTATCGATTAACATCGGCTAGGGCTGCGCGCGGATTGGCGGGTAGTAATTGCATTCCGACGATAAGAGGGCACTAAAGTGAATAACAGAGAAACATTGGGAAACCCATTAGAGGTATCTCGATAAACAATTAGAAACATAATATTAAATCATTCTAAAAGATTCTTCTTATAATAAAAAAGAGAAAGTAAAATAATTAATTTTCCTCACTTTTAGTACCTTCGGTATTTTATAAGTTAACTGAATAAATAGACTGAGGACGTTTATGCGAATATAAATGTTTCTTGTCCCTTTCATAGAGAACATCAAACAGAAATTATTTTACTGTATTAAAGATTCTACTACGAAGACCTCGTCAAACTTCACTAAATATTTTTGTACACTCAGTTTTAAACAATCACGTACGAATAAGAATGCATAAAATTCGCAGTTCATTAATAAAATATTAAAAATCTTGTTAAACAAGCATACACGTTTTCATTATGTCGCAGTCTATAGTTAACCCTCTCCTTTTCGACCACTCAAGGATCGACACAAGTCGTGTTGGTCAATCCTTATAACCTACATGCAATTAGAGATTAAATATCCCATTTATATTACAACCTATAACAATGTAACTCAGACTGAATGCAAATTTAACTTACAAGCTGTGCAGGCAGTAAATTCTTTGGCGCTGAGATAAATAATCGAAATTATCACCAATTGTAACATGCATAACAATACTTCCTTCTATCCAGGGTCCAATCAACAAGTTAACAACACAATTCTAAAGTAAAATACAGATCTGAATACAAGTCGAACCAAGGTTTACCGCAGAGCCAATCAACAGAAATCATCAACACTTGACAATTTATCTTCCCAACACTGTCCGTCGAATTCGACAAATTTTACCAGTCGTCACGTAACAATCCATCGAAAACCATAAGCCCGAAACTGGAGAATACAAACCACCAGAGCTCCCCTCTTACCCAATCCGTGCGCAGCCAGAAACAACGATCTACCAAATTACTTTTACCAATCAACATCGTCTCACCTATTATTACTCGATTGTACACAGATCACCGCGGTAGTCCTTGAACAGTCCCCAATATCACGACAATGTCCCAACAAACAACACGTCGAGAGTAAACGGTGGATGCCATTCTCGAGTCTGCATCAGGCCAGAATCCTCGAGAATCGCGAACACGAAGTCCTCGACACGGCACAACAAAACAATTCACGTCCAGCTTCTACGTTCTCCATGGTATGTATGTACAGGTTGAATCAGTAGAAGCTATTATCTAAAATAACTCCTTACCTATTAATTGCATAAAAAAATGTTTTAATGAATACTATAGCATTTTAAGGAACGCATTGGATGTACACAATTTGATTTCACTATATTTTCTTTATTTTGAGGTATCAAGGTGACCTCGAGTTTTTCAAGCATGATGGTATTAGAAAAAGATGCATTGATCTTGAAAAAATGCAAGGTCACCTTGACATCTCAAAGAAAATATATATAAAAAAATTAAATTGTATCCATCCGATGCGTCCCTTAAAATGCTACATAATACATTAAAACGTTTTCTGAGACAATCAATAGTTAACGAGTTATTTTAGATAGTATTTCTTATTTACTCACCCTGTATATATCCTTATACGCGTCTCACGATTCCCAGCCTCTCGTGTACACACGATCGAACACACGTTGGATCATCCTCTTGGAAGCGTCTTATGTCCGTTAAATACTCCGCCGCAACTGAACAGGTTCACAAGCGATTTATCGTCCGTGGGTCCCCGTCCATTTGTCCGTGAGACCAGCGATCCGTCAGCGTTCCCCGGGAAAAACGTTCCTCCGCCGCGGAAACAACCCCCTAATCTCGCAATTAGAGACCACCCTCGTAAATTTCACTCCGGAAACTGGGCCCCGTATCCTTGCTAGACAGCGCCGTCCGGTGGAACTCTTGCATCGTGGAAAGAAACGCTGAGAACGGATTTTCAATCCTCCTTGTCGATACACCACCACTTCGCCCCCCACAACCGATTAAATAGAGCTCGTTCCAGGTCTTCTCTGGCGTTCACGGGGAAATCGATCGCGATCCCCACCTTCATCCGTCTTCTATTATCTCCTTCATCTCGCCCCCTGTCTCGATCACTGGGACGTGAAGTTTCAATAATCAGAAAATGGCCCGTCTCCGACTTTTCGAGTAGGTTCGAACACAGTGGGCATTACACGAAGTGTTAGCTTCGACCAGGTCAGGGGGGATTCATCAGTTCTTCCATGGTTAAGTGTCTCTTGTCGTGAAACTTATGGTTCGCCCATTCTTGAGTACATCAACAGGCCTAATTCTGAACACATTCTTCGATCATCTCCGTTCGAAATCCAACAAACAACTCTCCCGAGAAACGTTTCAGGTCACATTCCCACGAACGATTGTTCGATCACTTCCACCTTGAAACAACAATCTGATCCACCTGGAAGTCCTCGAGCACTACTTCGGACAGGCTTGAAATTGTCCACAGTCGATTCGCTCACGATCTACCCTCGAAACCCCGCCGTCAGCGCCATCTGTGTCGTTCGATTCCAAACTCCGTCGGCGGCCATCTTGTTCCCACCGACTCGAACCAAGATGGCGGGGTACAGACTAACGTGTCTCGATTCGAAAAGACTTTTTTTTCGGAGAACACACGAAGTGACTTCGATTAGGCTGTGGTCTACTCGAACACGCTCTCGGCGGCCTCTCTGATCTTGACGATCAGGAAGGAACGTCTGCAGAGCTTGACGAGCAGCTCGATCCTCTGTCAGGATGGTTTCCGTAGCTGGGGCAGCGCGATCAGGTAAACGTTGCCCAATATGGCGCCGGCTACCAGCAGCATCACGCTGACAGCGGACAACAGCCGGACGAACCTGACGAAACGACGTCCTCGGGAGTCCTTCTTGCTCTGGTTGGGGAACACCGCTAGGCCCAACAGCGGGCCCGCTAAGGCCCCAGCCACGTGAGCGGCCCAGCCGACCCGACCGCAGCCCAGGAGCGCTGGAATCGGTAGAGACGCAACGTCCGCACTGGCCAGAAGCAACACGGCACCTAAACGCCAACCTGCGTACCGAAGCTCGCCGTGACACTGGAGCAGATCAAAGATAATTGGACCGATTAGTAGACACGTGATCGATCCGGTTCTCGTGGAGAAACGAACCGATTCGAGCCCTTGCACTGTTTAACTATTTAATGTCCAGGCCCTTAAATCGTTATTTCAAAACTCAGATAGCACAGGGAGAGGAAGAGTTTCTCGAGGAACGGGTGTATCAGTAGTAAGTAGAGAGCAATTGAACAAGAAAGCTACGTTTTGTAGTCCCATTTGCTAAAAAAAACATAACAATCGCCTCGAAACGTTGCCATTCGAATTGCCGAAGCATCGAAGCTCGAGAAGTTACCCCGTTAAACCGCACCAACAAAAATTCGACTCGCAACCGAACGAAATTTCTCAACGGAAGAAACATTTTACCGCAGAATCGAATTTGCATGAACATCCGTCGCAGGGACAAGAAGCAATCGGACGAGGGAAAGTTTGCTAAAAAGCGACGGAACATCGAAGCGCAGAAACACCGAAGAAACGCTCCTGAGGGAAAATCGGATTCAGAAAGAGTGCTTCGATCTTCCGTTAATCCTTGCGCGAAACTTTACATATTTTTTCTCTTTTTTTTTTTTGGGACCATCCTCCGTTCGCGAAATGCTTCTCGTTAGTCGGTTATTCTAGAGGAGTACAGATCACGGAATTTTTATTAGTCTTCGTTCAATGAGATTTAAGTAAAAGAAGTAGAGAGAGAGAGAGAGGGGGAAAAGAAACTGGAAAAAGGGAAGTTCGTCGGGGGGATGTTTCACCTACTTTTTCTCCTCTCGCGGCGGAAGTTTCGACAGATCGGTGAACTTTCAGCCGCGGGAACTTACCAAGTAAAGATGCGCTAGATGGCTGGTAAGCAGTGCGTAAACACCTGCGGAGGAACCCACCAGGAACAAACTCGGCTGCAGGAGAGATGCGCCGAGGGCTCCGCAAACACCGCCCCCCAGGTAGATCGTCGCGACGCCTATCCGACCCTGCTCCACCTTCAACCATCAAATTTTCCACGTTTTAACGGAGCTTATTCACGGATCACGTCGCACGCCGTACACACAAACGTCCTGACGCAGATCACCAGACTGTGGAACTTTGTAAGCTAACAGAACGAAATGCATAATGTTCTCATACATTCTCACTGAAATCAATACTTTGACAAATCCCTTTGTACTTCTGTAGTAAATACAGATAAATAAAATATTGTGGCAGTCAACGTGTTAATTATGATTTTTGGGCCTTCAAGATAGCCGAACCCCTTAACCAGTTTAAAAATCGCACTATTCATCGAACCTAATAATTCCGCCGTACAGAAGGGTGAATCACCCCCGAAATTCACCCTAAACGTTCATTCGTCTAAGGTACCCGCCGTTTTCCAGCCGATTCAATCCTTTACCAGGGTGAAACGCGATCGATCGAGGGAGCCAGCCGCGAAAGATCCGCTCCGGCGACGAGCATGAAAAGGGTTTAGAGAAGATGCGGGAGGGGAAGTAGGAGCGCTCGGCCCGGGCAATTAGTCTGATTAACTCACCTCGAGCGGGGTGGCCAGTACCAGCTGGATGACCACGTTCAGCGCCAGGTGAAGCGCGTTCGAGTGCAGGAGCATGTACGAGGCGAACCTCCAGCCCTGGATCCTCTGACGTGGATCGTAGACCAGCCACCTGCGTAACGCCGCCTCGTCCCCCAAGCAGTGGACCGCTATCTGTTTCGTCATCGAGAATGCGTTTCATTGTGGTTGCAAATTGCAGAATTTCAGGGAGATAGAGAGAGTGAGAGAGTGGAGAAACTAGGTGGGGAAAGTAATAATTAAAATTGCAATCGTCACACGGATCGATTTCGTTTGAATACGTTCAGTTTCTTCACGACTTTATTGACCTATAAATAGGCTTGTAAATTTCAGTGCCTATCGATAAGAAGTCTATTAATATTATCCTAAAACCAGGGTTGCAGAAAAAATTATTACGTTATTTTATTAGAGTTTTCACTATTTTCCATGAATCTAATTTCCTACTGTATAAAAAAAATTTTTAATCTAAAAAAAAGGGTTTGTTACTCCATTCTGAATTTCCTAAACCTACTAAAAACATTCTAAAAATATGGGTGTGTAATACTGTAAGGTTTTGTGCGAAATTGTAAGAAACTTCATGTACACAAATTTGACCACCAGGTTTGAAAGGGTTAAATAGCAACCGGTAGATAATCTGTTAATACGAACGTGGATGAACGATAGCGACGCGGAAAGACGCGTCGTCGGTTAGTCGGTTATATTTCGTCGCATAATTCGTTCGTTTTCCATTCCACGGACGGTATTCCGGAGACGAGACTACAGGCGGAGCGACAGAGCATCGCTAATTGGACGATCAGACTGGAATCGTCCGGAACGATCCGGATGGTCGAATAATTGATCCTCCTATACGGTAACACGAGGCCACGATTCTTCGCGATCGTCGACGAAACGCGACGCTTGCAACTGTTGCATGAATTGTTGGAGCTTCGCGACCACCGACCATAATTATCCAGATCTAATTTCGGGAGGAGGTATGATCGAGTTAATTAAGCGTCGAGCTAAAAGTTATACCACGATCTATCGTGTTGAATTTTCTCGGGTACGAGCAGATCGATGATAAAAGCTAATGGCGATGAAATTCCGTTGGCGTTGCACTGGCCGAAATGTTTATAAAGTCTTCAATTTCATAGATATTTTTAAAATACCACAAATCTTATTGCTCCATCGTATCTGTTTTTGTATTTAAAAAAAATATGATTTATAGAAACAATGAAATGTAGGTTCATGTAGGAATATTTGTTTAGTTAAATTCCCCTGTGCGTTCAATCCGTAAATAATATTTACGGATTGAATTTGATTTGGATTTAATTAATTTAATTTAAGTTGGATTCTACGATTTGACGCGTCCAGACTCAGGAATATACAGTGGTATAGTTCAAGGATTCTCCACTAGCCGCGCTTATGGTATTTGTCAGTCACTTTGGCCATGTTACCACCGAGCATCGATAAAACAGAAGGAAGTCAGCACAAAACTATACTAGGGTATATTTAAATTAAATAATTTTTAGTTAACAACCACCACGAATATTAACACATAGTCATTGTCTAATAATTTACAATAAAATAAAATTTATTCCACGTGAAATTTCATAAAACGATCCATATCTTGCAAGTTTCTGTATATCTCGATTTCTATCTGTTATAATTATTAACAATTCGCATTGTAAAAGGGATGATATAATGTTCAACATCTTCCACCGAAGATGTGATTGTTATATACATTATAATATTAAACTTATTGTGAAATAAGTTAAATGAAATAAGTCAAAAGCAATAAGACAAATGTCGATCAAAGAATTCCTATTGTTCTAAAAATTTTTATGAATTCCTTGTTCAAAACACTATCAAGGTACATTTTCATTAAATAATATTTAGTTAACAATCGTCATAAACATTAAGACATAGTTATTGTTTAATAGTTTGCAATAAAGTAAAATTTATTACACGTAAAAGTTCATTACACGGTTCATATCTTGAAAGTTTCTGTATATTTCGATTTATATTTGTTATAAACAATAAC